GTTTTTTTTTCTGTCTGTCTCAAACGTACAATCCCAAAAAGATTAACAAGGAATTTTTTTTTTTCTTTTTTCATTATTGAATATCAACTCTACTACAGAAAATCATATGTTATAACTATGAGTTAAGCATGCTCTCCACAATGAAAAAGTTGAAGTAAAAAATAAAAAGTAAAAACAACACTACAATCTATATACCCCTATCCCCCTCGTTCTCTCTTTCTATAAAAAAATATATAAAAGAAATTAATGTGGCAATGTACAAGATGTATAGATACACTACCCTAGATCAAGATAGAGGTCCCCTCCCCAAATCAAGAAAATTAAATACTCTAACTGGTTGATGAAAGCTGTTCCACCATAATCCCTACTTAATTTTCTACAGTTGGATGAGCAACAATTTGGTTGATTTTAGTGTCAAAATCTTTTCTAGTTAAATGAAACTAGGGTTGAAATGTGAATGATCGTCTGATGGTCATGGCGAGATGTTTGGCTTCGGCTTTCCAAAAATTTTCTATGTCTTCAGATACTCGTTTTGCATCCGCAGATGAACCAAACAAACCACGTCTAGTGAACCCTACTGCATATAGCCCACATTCACCTTTCCAGCCATGTGGAAAGGGTTTCCGAGGCATTCCATCTTTTTCTGAGAACATGTCCTTCTCCTATAGACAAAAATATATATAGGTTTAGATATAAAATTTGAATTCAAATTATTGAGATTAAAGAGACAGAGAAAGATATAAAAAACACCTTTAACCAAGAGGGCGTATTGCTTTTGTACCCTGTTGCTAAAATGATAGCATCAAAATTTTCTATTCTTCCATTCACAAATTGTACACTATGATGCCTCACACTTTGAATGCTCGGATGCACCTGTACAAGTTAAGGTACACACTTAAGTATGACTTATAAAACATTATATTAAGATCTAAAGCGGTTTAAAAAGAATCAATATCCATCATATTTTGGCCATAAAAAAGGAAAATGAAATTTCTTTTACTTCATCCTTCTACCTATTTAATAATAACATGTGTACTGTATTACTTTTTTTTTTGGTCTCTTCTTTTTATTTTGACATTTGTCATAATACAAATGAGTAACAGGATAAATAGAAATATTTTTTATTTTGACATTTGTCATAATACAAATGAGTAAGAGGATAAGTAGAAATATTTAGTAGGAGGACATTGAAACTCTCTATGCAAAATTTCAAGAGACATGTAGAACATATTCCAAATTGTAAGAGAAAAAATCTAATATTAACATATGTTTAACCACCCATATGTGTTTTGGTTATCTAAAACGCTTTGCAAACTTTATACCTTTTAGACAATATTCGTTTTACCGCATAGAAAATAAACATTTGAATAATATATATTATGAACCTACAGGTTCAAATCAATATGGTACGTTCTAACGAGGGTAATGAAGACTAGTTTTAACATGAAACTTTCTGAAAATTAACCAAATTTTGCAATCTTTAAATAAATAGGAGATTTCTGAGATATTCCACCCATCCAAAAAGATTCGGTACCTTCTCTTTAAAACATGTTGCCTTCACTTTTTACGTAAAAGGCATAAATATTAAAAGCTTGGATTTCTTAAAAATGGAGAATTTTGTCATAATTAATATAGCCAAAAGTTACATTTGAGGGAATGATTATATATACATTAAAGAAAGTAGAAAGAAAAGTCCAAAGAAGAAGAAGAAGAAAAGCACAAAGATATTATATATATGGGAACATGTTTAAGGAAATGCATGAAAAGAACCAAAAAGGTAGGTATATATTATATAGAAGTTTACCTTAATGTGTCCACTTTTGATCTTGGCTAGGGTTCCTACATCCAAAACCGGTGTTTTTCCGGTCTTGCTTTTGAGCTCAAGGGGTCCTACTTGGGGCCGATCAAGTCCAAAACTACCGGTGCTTCCAAAAATCATCCATGACATGATCAAAAGAAACCGATCAACGAGTCTTATGGGTAACCACTTGAGCAACCACATGGACAGCCCAAAAGTCGATCTTCCCAGCATCTCTCGTGGTAGGACATGTACCTATATATATCGTGCATTGTCAGTTATATATATTTTTGATTAATTTGAAAAATATATAAATCAT